CTGTCACTGGCTGGCAGGCTGAGGTCTCCCACACGTGTTCTGACTGTGGGCACTCGTTCCCCCATGCTGCTGACCTGCTGAGCCACAGGCCCTGCCACCCACCAGACATCTATCAGTGCTCCCTCTGCCCGAAGGAGTTCGATTCTCTGCCTGCCCTGCGCAGCCACTTCCAGAACCACAGGCCCGGGGAGGCAGCCCCGGCACAGCCTTTCCTCTGCTGCCTCTGTGGCATGATCTTCCCTGGGCGGGCTGGCTACAGGCTTCACTGGCGCCAGGCTCATGACTCCTCTGGCATGACTGAGGACTCGGAGGAGGAGGAGGGGGAGGGAGAAGATGAAGCAGCCGCAGCGGCAGCCTCCACCCATAGTACCCCACTACAGCTCTCAGAAACAGAGCTGTTGAACCAGCTGCAGCGAGAGGTGGAGGCATTGGATGGAGCCGGTTATGGGCACATCTGTGGCTGCTGTGGTCAAACCTATGATGACCTGGGGAGCCTGGAGCGTCACCACCAAAGTCAAAGTTCTGGAAACACCACAGACAAGGCTCCCAACCACGTGGGAGAGTCAGGTAACACCTCGGAAACTGTTGCAGATGGCGTCTTTGAGGGCACAGGGGCTTCTCTCCCTGCAGACGGAGACACAGAGTCTGGAGAGGGAGTGGGTGTCCTGGCTGCAGGCAGCCTCTGCGTGCAGGGTGGGGAAAGCTCTCAGGAGGATCAGCCCCGCCCCTTCCGCTGCAATCAGTGTGGCAAAACCTATCGCCATGGGGGCAGCCTTGTGAACCATCGCAAGATCCACCAGACTGGAGACTACACCTGCCCCGTCTGCTCCCGCTGCTACCCCAACCTGGCTGCCTACCGAAATCACCTGCGGAACCACCCTCGCTGCAAAGGCTCCGAACCCCAGGTGGGGCCCGTCCCCGAGGCCGGAAGCAGCAGTGAGCCCCAGAATGTGGCCGAGGAGGGGCTGGAGCAGGCAGAAGTGGAGACGCTCCAAGAGGAATTTAAGACAGAGCCCCCAGAGGAGGTGGCGAGGGTGAAAGAAGAGACATGGAAGGAGACCACTCTGAAGGGGGAGGAGATGGAGCTGAGGTTCGAGACCGTGGAGAAGAGCTGCCAGACCGAGGCCAGTTCCGAGCGGCCCTTCAGCTGCGAGATATGTGGCCGGTCGTACAAGCACGCCGGCAGCCTCATCAATCACCGGCAGAGCCACCAGACTGGCCACTTTGGCTGCCAGGCCTGCTCCAAAGGCTTCTCAAACCTCATGTCCCTCAAGAACCACCGGCGCATCCATGCAGATCCCCGGCGTTTCCGCTGCGGGGACTGTGGGAAGGCGTTCCGCCTGCGGAAACAGCTGGCTAACCACCAGCGCATCCACCTCGAGCGGGGTGGGAGTGGGGGCGCCCGAAAACTGGCTCGGGAAGATTGGCCCTTCCGGTGTGGGCAGTGTGGGCGCAACTACCGCCACGCCAGCAGCCTTCTGAACCACCGGTGCAGCCCTGAGACGGGCCAGTACCGCTGTCCCACCTGTCCCAAGACCTACTCCAACCTCGTGGCCTTGAAGGACCACCAGAAGCTACACTCGGAGAGCCGGCGGCGGCGAGCAGGGCGGTCCCGGCGGGCAGCTGTCCGCTGCGCCCTCTGCGGCCAGGGCTTCCCCGGCCGAGGTTCACTGGAGCGGCACTTACGAGAGCACGAGGAGGAGACCAAGAGCGCTCAGGGCGGTCCTGCTGGCACAGAGGGCAGCAAGGGGAACCTCGCTGATGACGAGGGACTAGAGGACAGATCTGGTGACACTGAGTCAGGTCCCCAGCGGCAGTTTGGAGCCGTGAGGCCAGGGGAGCAGAGTCATAGCCCCATCAGGTCAGCAGGTTCAGATGCCACAGGGCCAGTCTCCTGGGGCATGGGGCGAATAGATGGATGGCAAGGAGACGGGGGACCGGTGAATCATGATGGAGACTGGGTTCCTCGGGGTCATGTACTGTCCAGGCCAGAAGACGAGTCAGCAGACAGTGTCCCCATAAGTTCCTGCCACCTTGGCCACAGCCAGCCCAATGGACCTAGTCATGTGGACAGCTGGGACAATAGAGACAGCACCCCTCCGCTCCAGCCAGAGAGCCACCCCTTTTCCTGCTGCCGTTGTGGTAAGACCTGCCAGTCGGAAGGCCCCTTGCACCACCACACCCATGAGGCAGACTGCCACTACTGCCTGCTCTGCTCCAAGTTCTTGAATCCTGTGGCCACTGAGAGTCACAGCCACAACCACATACCTTCCCAGACCTTTGCCTGCCCCAACTGCGGCCAAACCTTTCAATTCCAACATGAACTAGCCAGCCACCTGCAAACTCATGCCAAGGGCCTTAGTCAGGTACCGCCCCTGAGAGAGGCCGCCAGAGGCCCCAAAGCTGGGACTGTGGAGGATGAGGCAGATCTCGTTGGTCAAGGCAAAGCCCAGAAGGCCCCAACAGAAGCCCCCAGGGCCCCCGGAGAGAGTGCTGAAAGAGCTAACGCAGGGCAGGGCGTCAAGGCCACCGCGGCTGGAGATGAGGAACGGCCCTTCCGCTGTGCCCAGTGTGGGCGCTCATATCGCCATGCTGGCAGCTTGTTGAACCACCAGAAGGCCCACACCACCGGACTCTATCCTTGCTCCCTCTGTCCCAAACTTCTGCCCAACCTGCTTTCCCTTAAGAACCATGGCAGGACCCACACGGACCCCAAACGCCACCGCTGCGGCATCTGTGGCAAGGCCTTCCGGACAGCTGCCCGGCTGGAGGGCCACGGGCGGGTCCATGCACCCCAGGAGGGGCCCTTCTCCTGCCCCCATTGTCCCCGCCGCTTCCGCCGCCGCATCAGCTTCCTGCAGCACCAGCAGCAGCACCAGGAGGAGCGGACAGTGGCCAGCTCTGGCACGGAGATATGAACGGGCAGAGGAGTGAAGGATCCCACAGGAGGTGGGCCTACAGTGGAGGGCAAAATCTGGCCCCAAGGTAGTGGGGAAGCAAGGAGTGAGAGGAAAGGGTCCTTGGGTTCCAAGAGGTGACCAGGAGCGTGGGTATGGAATGAGAAAGCTAATTTGAAGATGCTGACCTTTGAGTGGCCTAGATCTGAACCTCTGGGTCAGGTAAACAGATAGCATGATGGGGCTGGATGAGGAGTGGGCGGGGCAGAGGCCACTGCCTGGGCTCCTCTGCTGTGCCTGAGCCAAGAGGAGTCTGATTTGGGAGTTAAGGCAGCTGGGTACCATCTGGCTATTGCATCTGGAAACCCTCCTGACCCAGCCAGTAATGATTCCCAGAGGAAAAGGTTATCTAGGTTCAGCTCTTTCCTGGAGTAGGCAGGGAGTCGGGGAATGAGGAATGGGTTGAGGGAGGCACCCCCAGACTGGATGTTGCGGCTTCTGTGCTGACTCGGCCAGAGAAGTTAGGCCTGTGAGTGGCCCCCAGCTCCCTGCATCTGGTCTCTGCTCCCCCTCTGCTTTTCTTGCAAACTAGACCTTTGGTCCTTTCCTATCAGTGTTGCCTCATGCCTCTTCTCTTTATTCAACCCTTTTCTCTACCTGCTGTTACGTCCTATTCAGGATCCAACCAAACCACCCTTTCTGCCCACACCCCCTACTGCCGGCACCCTAACTGGAAGGCTGAGTCAGGTGATGGTTTCTTTGAAGCCAGGCCCAGCTGTAGCAACAACAGTCATTAGCCCCTGTCACCCTTCTCTATCGGGGAATCTCAGTCGCCCACACCCAGCCGAGCTGGAAGATGAGGCTGGGACTGCCTATTCCCTCAGCAAGCGCGGGGCTTGCTCGCTTCACCTCTAGAGATCTCCCCGAGCCCATTCCATTTAGTGGCCACCAAGGAGGGTTGGTGTCCTAGGATGGCGGGCCCCTGACCAGAAATTGTCAGGGAAGGAGGGGATGGTGGCTGAGGTTCCCCTAAGAGAGCTGATGAGATGGCATTCAAGATAAAAGATGTCTTATAACCTTTAGGGAATGAGTGCAGAGCCAGTTAGCCAAGTCTGGAAATTCATTGGGAGTCTGAGGCCGTAGGGCTCTCCTCCAGGTTCCCCGGACCATGGGCAGGGCTGGGGAGGGGTGTCCAGCTGTGTGGAGTGTGCCCCCTCAGTAACTTCTCTCTCCCCAGGAGCGTCAGAGGCACCAGCAGCGGGCCTGTCATTGCCCCCTCCACCCACCCCCACGACCCCACTTCTGGACCCTTCACCCCAGTGGCCTGCAGAGCTCAGCTTCTCCCTCTGAGCTTCACTCTCCAAAGATCACTACAGGGCAAGAGTGCAGGTTGCAGGGCAAGGTTTGGCCTCCATGTTCTACTCAGGAGTAGTTTGGGCACCCCCATCTCTTCTCCTCTCCCCTGCAAAGAAGACCCAGCTCTGGCTTCTTTCCCGAGCAGGGGTGAGGTGCTCCTCTGTCCCTGTCCTTGAAGGGCCTCCTTCCTCAGTCTCTGTCGCCATGCAGTTCACTATGATGGTCCTACAAGAAACCTGGTGACGGGTCTGCGGGGGGCCGGCCACCCTCACCAACCAGATCCACCTCCAGGGAGGCAGGTTCAGAGAGCCAGGGATAGGAACGTCGCCTGTGGAGGGAGGGGTGGGGGAGGGCTTTTGCTACAATTTGTAACTTATTTTCTAAAGTCTATTTTGTAACAATTTATTTAAGTTTAAAAAAAGGAAAAATGCATCACCATCCCCCCTTCCCCCAAAAAAAGAAAATTTTCCAAGTTTGTGGCTGGTGTGATTCTGTGTGAGGGGATGAAGAAGAGGGAAAACGGACACCTGCGTCGGAGAGCAGAGCTGAGCGTGGGGAGCATCTACAGGTGACATCTCCCTGTCATGCAGTGGGGGACGGGGCAGCTGCCAATCCAGGCAGGCTCCTTCCCAGAGCCCACTGGGCTTTTGGGCCTGCCCAGTGCCTGGAACTGTGTGTGTCTGTGGGGGGGGGGCGGTGGAGAGGGGCAGAGGCAGTGATGTGTGTGCAGCATCTCAGAGCCACCTGTCAGCAGTCGGCTGGTTGGCCTGTGGGAGAGGAAGAGGTGGGTGGAGGCCTCACATCTCCTGGAGGAGGAGGAAGAGGGAGGTGCTGACAGCCCCCGGGATGGAGGAGGAACAGGTTCAAGAGATTGAGAGGCCTGTGCCAAGCCCACAATGACAGACAATCTGATCCAGATGGTCTGTCCTGCTCCACCCACTCAGGCCTCTAGAGGTGACTCAGAGCAGATCTTTCTAGACAGAGAGGGGTCGAGAGGGGAGAGGCAGCAGAAGGCCCCAGGGCCACATACTCATGTTGGCCGGGCAGCTTTCTGGCTCGGGTTCGGGCTCGGGCTCGGGCTCCTCGGCGAAGTAGACCTGCCAGTCCAAACTGCTGACCCAGCTCTCGTAGGTGGGGAGCGCTGTGAAGGCTGCAGGCTGAGTGGGGCCTCGGCAAGCATCTCCAAAGCTGTGCAGCCCCGCTAGGAACCATGTGCCCCTCACCTCGTACACCAGTGGTGCCCCCGACAGGCCCTGCCAGGGTCAGGTGACACTGGGTGACTTCCTCTTACCCCTAAGCAGTTGTGAGGGGCAGAAGGGGTTAGGGTGCCCGTTGGCAGAAAGGCTGAACTTGAGGAGAGAGCAGGCCTTGTACTTGAGCTACAGGCTGAGGATGCCAGGGGACGAGCTTACCTCACAGCGGGGCGGCTCACCCACAACACTGGTACACACCATCCCTGGCAGAATGGGGATGCCGTCGCTCCCAAGCGCTCTATGCAGCCGGCTGCAGGCCCTAGGCCCCAGGAGGGTGACGGGCACTGTCTGAGGGGAGCTGGTGCCTGTGGTGGGGGAGGGAAAGACCCGACTGCCCCAGTGGCCTCTAGGCTGGATGGGTAGCTGTTGGTGGCCCGGTCCTACATACCTGCTCCTTGGTGGGCCAGCCCCAAGACCCAGCCACGTTCCCCTTCAGGCAGGCGATGGTCCGCGTAGGGCAGGCAGAGGGGCCGCAGGCTGGGGCCTAATGTCACAGGCCGGGCCAGCAGCAGGAGGGCCACATCGTAGCCCCCCTCGGGGTGGGTGTAAGCCCCATGCAGGATGAGCTGCTTTAGGCTGTGTTCCTCTGGTCCGGCCGCCAGCCTTACGCTCCACTCCTCTGGGCTCTGCCGCCTGTGCAGAGACAGCACTGACAGCACTGGGCGGCAGGGTGGGCAGCGGCGTACAGAGGGAGGGAGACGGCTCACCCAATGAAGCAGTGGGCAGCAGTCAGCACCACTTCCTCCGACACCAGGGCTCCGCCACAGGCCAGCTTCCCCTGGTGCTTCAGCCGGGCATCCCAGGGCCATGCGGAGGGGGCCTCTGCCTGCGGGCCTTCTCCCCTCAAGGATCCGCAAGCTGAAACATGGATTCCCATCTGCCTTCTGGAAAAGTGCTCCCCACATTCCGTCAAATCCTCACAACAACCTTTTAAGTAGAATTCTGTTACCCCTGTAACCAAAGTTCCCAAGAGGTGAAGTGACTTTCTAGCTCAGTGACTGCAGGGACGTAGCAGATCGGATATTCCAAAGCCAGGGCCTAAGCTTTTAACCGAGATTTGGCCTCAAGGGAGTGGCCTGCTAATGGTCCCTCAGCCCCACCTGTCTGCACCCTCCGGGCTTGGGCTGGCTCCAGAATTCCTGGCTCACCACGGCTTCTCTTACCATTAAGACATAGCTTCCTTCCCAGGAATTATTTTGCATGCAATTTGCTTGTTAATCATTTAGACCAGAATTCTGAGAGGGAGCCTCGCCCTGTCCTGTCTCACTGGGTCCTCGCTTGGAAACTTGCAGCAAGGCCCCAAACCTTCAGCGGATCCCAGGCCCCTTTCTTACCTAAACTCCAAACCCATAACATTCTGAAACATCGCAGCTCTAAAGGGGAACAACCCTAGGATGGGAACATCCTAGGGACCCAGGGTGGCCCTTAAAAGCCCCCTAATTAGCATATGGCAGTTAGTGGATGCCCTGAACCAGTTCTCTATTGCGAGCTGAATTTGTCTCGCTGTGGCTTCCACCTGCTGCCCAGGAGTCCTCACGCAGGCCTGGCTGTGCCCACACCACACTCTTAGCCTCCGCGCATACCTACACAGCTGTCCGCGTCACTGATGGGCTCGGCCTCCGGGTTCTGGGCCAGAAAGGCCGCGCCGCCTGCGCGAGCCTGCAGCCAGGAGCTGTGGGCGGCCGTGTCCGTCAGCAGCACAGGAGTGTCTTCCTGGGCACAGCTGGATGTGAAGCTGATGATCCCAGCCTGAACCCAGTGTCCATCGGGCTCACGGCACAGCACCGGGCCCCCAGAATCTCCCTGAAGCAGGCAATGGGGCCAAGGACAGACACCTGAGCCCAGCCCTGGGCAGACATCCTCTGCAGCCCTTCCACCCCTCCCTGCGGATCCAGCACCCAGCCCAAAGCCAGGCCCCTCCCCTCTGCTTCCTCCCCTCGCATCCCCTTCAGACCTGGCAGGGCCCCTGCACCCCAGGCTGGGCACCCCCACACAGCATCCCAGGCCGGGCTGGGCTGGCCAGCAGCCGCTGGTGCAGCCTGTTGTAGAGACAGTTACACGTGGGGCGGCTGATTAGACTCAGGCGCAGGTTCCGTAGGGTCCTGGGAGCTGGAAGAAGGGGTTGAGGTTGGGGTTGGAGTCTGGGCTCTGTGGAGAGAGGTGGGTCAGAAGAGCAGAAGCAGACAGTTGGCAGCTGAGGCTGTGTGACTTTGGGCAAGTGGACTGCCTCTTTGGACTTCAGCCTGGGGTAGACTTACCATCATTAATGTCCTGATCCCAGCCTGTGGCCCAGCAAGAGGCCCCAAAGGGGAAGCGATGGGCAGGTCCGGGCAGGCAGAGGGGTGTGTGGGCTGTGGGGTGAGCGAGCCGGAGCAGGGCCAGGTCTGAGCCCTGGCTGTAGTGGTTGTAGGCCCTGGGAAGCTGCAGAGATGTCACCCCGACCTCCTCAGCCCCAGGGCTCAGCCCCTCACGCTGTAGAGAGCCCAGAACAACGGACCAGGAGCTCAGCTCTGTCACTGCCGCTCTGGAGAGAGAGGACAAGGCCCAGGGGTACAGTGCACCATGGAAGACAACAAGGTAGGTGAACGGACAAATACCATCGTGGCTTTAAGCAAGGTCTTTCCTTCTCCCAACCTGACTCTTTTTTAAGGCTTCCTCCATGAAGGCTGTTAAGAGCAATGTGATAAGTACCTGGCACACAGCATAGTCTCAGTAAATGGTCCTTTGCTTTTCTAAGGGCAGGGATCAGCACTGTGAGTCTGGGGACACATCACCCACCCCCAAAGTCAGAAGCCCTGTGGACCCCAGCCACAACTCACTTTTCAAAGCAGTGGGCAGCAGTGAGGACCCAGCTGTCCGCCACCAGGGAGCCACTGCACACGTGGACCCCCTGCCTCCGCACACTGGCCTGCCATGGCCACTCGCCGGGCCCTGTGTTGCCTTCCTGAGGGTCAGGGGGGCCAGGGCCACGTTGCCCACAGGCTGTGGAGAGAGGTGGGTCAGGAGAGCAGGCCCAATCCTGTCCTCACCCAAGGTCCATCCAGACCCAGGTAAGGCCCAAGCCCCCGGTCCCCAGGGCTTACCACGCTGAGCTGCTTGGAGACCTGGGAAGAGAGAGACACAGGTAAGACTCGGGGGGGCCTTACCTGCCTGGCCCAGCTTTGGTGGAGGGCACAGGTTGGGGGTAGGCCCTGGGCCCTTGCCTATGACTCGGTGGCCACCTCATCAGCCCCTCCCAGAATGAAAATATTTATATGTGGTCCGGGAACAGCTTTTATTGGAACCTACTCAGAGCATCTGCTGAGTAATTAGCTCTCCTTCAGCTGTGCTCAGCACTCCAGCCTAAGCAGCAGGGCCTGGGGTTCAGTTTGGGACCAGGCCAGCCCTCCACGCTTCAGCTCCCCAACCCCTGCCCCCGCCACTGAATCAGGAGGCAGCCTGTGTGTGTGGAGAGCATTAGCCTAATTGTGCCCTCAGCCACTGAGGCCGAGGAGGAAGGATTAGAGGCTGCGTCATGTCCACCCATTTTGACGACTCAGACTCCCCCACCTTTCCAGAAACTGCCAGACTCAACCAAAGAGGCTCCTGCCCTGCCTCTTCCCATAATGGCCTCACACAGACACACCCACTGCGCATCGGAGCCAGGAGAGAGGGGACAGGAGGAAAGGCTGGGGCTGAGGCTAAGAGGCTTTGCTAGGAGTAGAGGGGCAGACAGGGCACGGGGCACACACAGGCGCTGACAGCCCCGCAGACAGACTGCTCCAACCCAAGAATATCATACCGTTTGGACACAGACAGCCACACAGACGTCCCCACACACAGCCAGACACGGTGTATCACCACAGGCGGACTGTCACCCACAGGCGGACTGTCACACACACCAAGCTGCAGGGCTGCTGGGCAAAGGGTGGCCCCTGAGCCCCCACACCCCACTCCCCCACCCACTCCAGCACAGGTGGCTCACCCTCCATGAGGACCACGGCTCCCAGGATGAGCAGCCCTGGTCCCCAGCTCTGCTTCATGCTGCTTCGGGCTACTCTGCCGCCTGTGCTGCGGTTCGGAGAAGCACCTGGGTCTCGCTAGCTCCACCTCTGCTCCGCCCCGTTGGCTGGGAGACAGGTGTCACTGCTTTTCCTGGGCTGGAAGGAAGCCAGGAGCTCCTGGTCCTGGGCTGTGGCTGTGTGACCCTGGGCTGTTCGCCACCCCTCTCTGGGCCATGAGTGTGTGCATGAACTCACACACTGAATTCAAATGCCAGTTACCCCACTGACTACTTGAGTGACCTTGGACATTTAGCTGGTCTGTGCCTTGTCTGAAAAATGCAGAAAATTTTCATTTAAAAACACTTAGGCCTGCCGAAACTTGTTTGGTTCAGTGGATAGAGCGTCAGCCTGAGGACTGAAAGGTCCCGGGTTCGATTCCGGTCAGGGGCATGTACCTTGGTTGCAGGCACATCCCCAGTGGGGGTTGTGCAAGAGGCAGCTGATCAATGATTCTCATTAATGTTTCTAACTCTCTATCCCTCTCTCTTCCTCTCTTTAAAAAATCAATAAAATATATTAAAAAATAATGCAAAATAATAATAATAATAAAAAAACACCAATAATAAAATACTTTCAAAACAAAACAAAACAAAAAACTACTTAGGCCAAAGCCTGGCACAGATGCAGCCTCTCCCGGCATAGAAGCTCTCTCTGGTAACTACAAGCCTTCCCCGTTCTCACTTTTCATTTCCAAGTGGATTTCTCATACCTTCTCCCATCTTGCTTCGGAAACAGTGAGTTCGGGGCTGGCAGTCAAGGGGCCAGGGCTCTGCTACTTGCTAGCTGAGACCTGGCAAATCTCAGCACCTCTCTGGGCCCTCACCTGCCCAGCAGGCAGGGCGTGCAGGCGTGCGCACCTTTCTTGCAGGCATCGAAGACTCCATCAGGAGGGAAGGACATTCCCGGTGCATTCTTTTCCTGTTCCTGGCGTCTAACTCCTGTCAGCCCAGACGGTTCAGGAACCCTGACCCCAACTCAGACGCTGCAGCCAGCTGGCCCTGGTGGATTAAAACCCCGAGGGCTTCCCATCCCCCTCCAGACACTGGCTGTGCCATCTCAGGCACACTCCCTATCTTCTCTGTACCTCCAGTTTCCTCGTCAAGACAGGGACAATATTAGTACCTACCTCATACAAATTGCTATAAGGATTAAATGAGTTAACACATGTCATGTTCTTAGACAGTGCGTGGCATGCAGGTAAGTGCTCAGTGATACTAGGGAAAAGAAACCAAAAACACCTGGCCCTGGCCCTTCTGAGCTGCCAAGACTGTCTTGGGGTGGTAGACAGGGCAGCCAGAGGGTTAGGGTTGCACTGAGAAGGACTTCCCAGCACACATGCACAGAACCAGAGGGCAGCTTGTTCCCGCAAGTGCATGCCCGGTCCTCACAGGAGGGCCGCTGACTCCGAGGGCAGCAGCGGGCTGCCAGCCTGTTTCTTGGAGTCTTGCTGACTCCACAAGCTGGAGAAGGAACTAGCCACCCTTCCCAAGCAGACGCTCCTCTCTCCCTCCAACTCATATCCTCCCGCTCCCGGAGGAGGCAAGAACGAGGGCCCGTGGCAGACAGGTGGCTCAGACTTAACCAATTTAAGAAATTTTATTGCTCAGAACCCTCCTTCCCTGGGCAAAGGCAGGAGCTTTGGAAACCAATCGTTGGGGCAGAGCCAGAGGCACTAGGTGGAGGAAGAGTTTGGCCCACTCGGTCCATGTCCAGTGCTGGGAGGATGGTAGAGGTGGGCTGCAGACTCCTCTAGGACCCAGACGTGCTCCCCTTTGGCAAGGCTGACGCACAAAGCAGAGCATGAGGTCAGTGAGGGCTCAGTGCCCCTTGACCTTGCCCTGGGGTCTCTGGACTTCCCGGAAGTTGAGCACCATCAGGCCCACGTTGATGGCATAGGTGGTGATGCAAACAATGCAGAAATCATAGAGCACAAAGAACAGGATCCAGGCCAGGTAGACAGAACCAGCGAGAGACAACAGGGAACTCAGCAACAGCAGGAGGGATGCCCAGCGGCCCCGAAGGCAACCTGCAAGGAAGAAAAGTCAAACATGGGCTTCAGGGACAAGCTGCCTCTAGAAACTGCCATGACTTCGGCGCCACCCAGACAGCAGGGGCTGCTGGGGAAACCTCTAAAATAAGAGGCCCCTTGGTTTTCCTCTCCATTCAGTGATCCCTGGGACACAAATAGCGGATTTTCCTACTGAAATCTCATCTACAGAGGAAAGACACACAGCCCTTAGATTCCTCCCGAAAAGAACTCCGTCTTTCCAACAAAACTGGTGCCCTAGGAAGTGGTTAAGGGTCCTTCTGGCTCTGACACTCCCAAGGCGAGGTGAAAGGCTCTTATTAGTTCCTCCCCCGTCAGCTCCACGAGCCCCCGAGATGGCAAGGAATGGGGCCGAAGGAAGGGCTGTCATGTCGGGCAGGGCCAGTTACCTAGCAACAGCTGGAGCGAGTAGAAGATGCACCCGAATATGCTGTTGGATTGATTGAAGACGCTGTCTGCACCCAGCACTTGTTCCACCAGCCCGAAGCCCCGGCCCCACCTGGTGGAGGGGAAGGCCTTGGTGAGGAGTGTCATCAACCCAGTGCCCTGGGCCCTGACCGGGAGGGGTGATTTTCAAGAAGCCATCCAACCCGGCTGGTGTGGTTCAGTGGCTGAGCTCAGACCTATGATTCCTGGTCTGGGCACTTCCCAGATTGTGAGCTCACCCCCAGCACGCAGCCGATCCATGATTCTCTCTCATCGTTCATGTTTCTGTATCTGTCTCCATCCCTTCCTCTCCGAAACCAATTTAAATAAATATATATACTTGGGGGGAAAAAATAGAAGCCACCTGTGCTGTCCTTCCCTATGTCCCCATTCCCCTACCCAGCTTGAGGCCAAAGGTCGATGACCTCCTGGGGAAGCTTCCCTAGGCCACGTCAGGAGTCTGTGTGTTTGCTCCTATCTTCCCCCATCCCAGGCCAGGCCTGGCCAAGGTTCCCCTTAGGCCCCTCTTTCATCCTAGACCTTCAATAATTCTTAAGATGGCATGGTGGGATAGACAGTTGACCTGCTTTACAGAGTTACCAGAGACTGGGAATCCGGGGTAGGATCTCTCTGGCCTGGACCCTAATTCTCCAGCGCCCTGGCTGCCCATTGCCCCCTCTGTATTCGGTCATCCCACTAACCCCAGGTCCTCAAGCATAGCCAGACCTGCCACCTTACCCCCAGGCACGGCCATCCTCATGACCAGCACGGGTCCCTACACATTACCTCCCCCTCCTCCCGGGTCACCGTTATTCCTTGGGATCCAGATCCACTACTCCAGGAATAACCATAGTCCCCAGCAATATCTCCCCCCTCTCCCCTATCCCGCCCCTCATCCCTATCTCGGACACCCCCGATTCGCTGGGCAGTGTCCCCTGGAGCAGCCGGTCCCCAAGCATCTGCTTCCTGGCACGGCAATCCCAGACTCCAGAGCCATCTGGCAACCTGGCCGCCATGCACATCTGGCCCCCGTGCACCGCTCCCACGAACAGCCCGGCGCCCCGAGCCTCCGGCTCCCACGCGCACCTGGAGGAGAAGACACGCGAGCAGCTGATGGCGGTGCCCACGTCGCAGAGCGCGCGGTAGTCCCGGTCCCGGGCGCGCGCCGCCTTCACGTGCAGCGCGTAGAGGGAGAGCGCCAGGCCCGCGAGGCAGAGCGCCAGCCGCGCCCACCCGGGGCGGCGCCAGGTAGAGCCCATGTCTCCGGGTCCCGCTCCGGCGCCCGCGGAGAGCAACCGCCACGGAGCAGGGGCGGGGCGCGCTGCGGCCACACCTCCCGCCCGCCCGCGCGGGGCCGGCCGGGCGCGCATTCCCGGATCCAATTGGGTCTTCCAAGGACCGGATAGGCTTGCTGGCGAGTTAGGAAAACACAAGGAATGCTGGGACTGGAAAACCAGATGAAAGGTCCTTATGGACTAGACGGCCCGCCGGGCATTCTAGGAGTTGTAGTCCAAGCGGCCGCAATGCCTCAAGGGAAATGTAGTCCCGAAGTTTTAAAAAGTGCACACGTACATCAATTACAATTAACGGTCTCTAGCGGTTACTCTGTGACGAGCCCTGTTCGAAGCATTGGAACATCCAGGACCTAGAGACCAGCGGACCAGGAAATCCAGCGAGTAGTGCGATCCGATCAAGAACCAAGCATTTTCCCTAAAATTATTTCAGCTACTGTTCTGTTAAGACAGTAATAGTCTTAGCTTGCTCAGCAATCCCTCCCTGCCTCACCAGCGCCGCCTGCCGGCCGGTTCTCTCTTTTTCTCTCCTTAAATTCCCAGTTATCACCTCACCACACCCTTGAAGGTAACCTAACCTCTGTTCTATGGTGTAGTGACGCTCGCCTGGCTAACCCTGAGCTCAGGTCAATCCAACAGTCCCTCCTTTCGAGGTTGTCGGTGGGCTAGCGGAACTCCCCTTCACAGATGCCGCATTTATACCCATCGCTGCCATCCCTCTCCTTCCTTCTCATCTGCACTGAACTGTGCTTCTCTTTCCTATTTTAGAAACAGCAGCGAATTTTCTTTTACAATCAAGTATTTGGGAGGATTTTACACTCTCAGCCTCGACTTATTCACTCCTTCCTTGCTGCCCAGGACACCATAAACTAGCTCTTGACCCCAGAACTACCCCAACTCATGGCTGGTGTCAGCAGGACACTAAATCCAATGGATAATTTTTTTTCAGTTCGTGTCAGGCTTGACCTCCCAACAGCATTAGTCACTATAGTGCACTCCTTCTGGGAAACACTCTCTTCCTTTGGCTTCTGTGACATGTCCCTCTCCTGCTGGCCCTCCTCTTTTTCCTGGCTGCTGCTCCTCAGGCCCACGCCTCTGCTTCCAGACAGCATGGTCGGCAGAGGGACAGCCACCACAAACACCCGTGTCCTGATCCCTGGGACCTGTGAATATGTAGGTTACCTAGTAAATGGGAATTAAGGTGAAAGATGGAATTAAGGTCACTAAAATGCTGATTTTAAAACAAAGAGATTATCCTGGGTTCTTTAAAGTGAAAAGGGATGCAGAACAAGAGTCAGAGGGAGGTGTGACTGCGGAAGAAAGGCACAGTGAGATGCAATGTTGCTGGCTTTGAAGACAGAGGAATGGGATAATGGGCTGAGGAATTCGGGTGACTTCCAGAAGCAGGAAATGGCAAAGAAATGGATTCTCCCCTCCAGAAAGGAACTGTTGACATCTTGGTCTTAGCCCAGTGAGACTCCTGTCAGACTTCTGAACTTAAGCTGTAAAATAGTAAGTTCATGCTATTTTAAGTCACCAAGCTTGTGGTAACTTGTTACAGCAGCAATAGGAAACTAGTACAGAGGACCAGGACTCATGTCTGACCGCTTTGCACAGTCTCCTGGAGTCCCTGTCATCTATGGCTGGTTTCCTGCAGGATGAGTGCTCTAGGCGGGAGCAAGATGGAAACCACAACGTCTTTATCACTCAGCCTCAAAAGTGACACTGTCATTTCTACCTTAGCCCCATTGAGACAGGTCAGCCCTACTCAGTGTGAGAAGAGACTATAGAGTTATAGAGTTAAATGAATACTAGGATGAGGGGACCACAGAGGACTTATTGCTGTTCAACAAGTCACTACAAAAATAATGGTGTAAAGCAAGCATGTCAAACTTGCAGCCCACGGGCCACCTATAGTCCACAATGAATAATTTTGCGGCCCATCCAATAGCCAGCACAGCCAAGGGTTCCAGGAGCCTGAGGGAGGGCCGGAGAAGGATGAAGAAAAGACAAAAAGAATAAGCTGAGTCTAGGTGGATTTTCTGTGCCTGGCTGAGACTTTATTTTATAGTCAGAAGTAAACAAGGTAGTGGTCACCATAGTTACAATGTTCTTGTGAGTTTCACTTGTTCTGGCAGCATTTGCTGCACCTCCCACAGCCCATTAGCTATCAAGGAAAGATCTAGGGAGCAGTCACAAGATCAAGCTTACTTATGCTAAGAGGGCTGTGCCTTCTAAGCTGCGACTTGTTTGCGGCTTTGCCAGCAGGTCAGTCTAAGGCTTAACCTTATAACCACTCCCTACAATAGTACGTAAGAAACAGTATGTAATTTAATTTTTATAATATCCTGTTATACATGATCTATATATATAGAAGGCTAAGTGACTGACCGTCCATTGGCCTGACCGTCTGACTGACTGGCTGGCTGGTACGTATGATGTGCACTGGCAATTTAAAAATAAACATTGAATGGTGCATGCACGATACATATAAAGCTCTCAGAATGCATATTATTGAAATCCCCCGTGAAATTATTTGTAACATATCTATTATTGAAGCTACCGTTGGAAATAGTGTATCTGTAGATAATATTAAAAATATATCTAAATATGTGATTCTTTGTCCAGAAAATTTGGATAGTCTCAATTTTCACACCTATTTGAGTGATGATTCCGTTGACTCAACAGATAATGCTGAAAAGAAAAAATTTCCCATCAAATTTCTTAATAGTATTACTCCTTCAGGAATGCCCTGTCATAAATTAAAATTGAAAGTGGGTGCAATCATCATGCTACTGAGAAATCTTAATAGTAAATGAGGTCTTTGTAATGGCACTGGATTTGTTATAAAAAAGACTGCAACCTAACATTATTAAAGCTGAAGCATTAACAGGATCTGTGGAAGGAGAGGTTGTTCTGATTCCAAGAATTGATTTGTCCTCATCTGACACTGGCCTCCCATTTAAATCAATTCGAAGACAATTTCCCAGGATGCCAGCATTTGCAATGACTATTAATAAATCACAAGGACAAACTCTAGACAGGGTAGGAATATTCCTACTTGAACCCGTTTTGGACATGGTCAGTTATATGTTGATTTCTCTCGAGTTCAAAAAGCATGTAATGTTAAAGTTAAAGTTGTAAATACTTTATCTCAAGGGAAATTAGTCAAGCACTCTGAAAGTGTTTTCACTCTTTTTAAAAATATATATATATTTTATTGATTTTTTACAGAGATGAAGAGAGAGATATAGAGTTAGAAACATCGATGAGAGAGAATCATTGACCAGCTGCCTCCTGCACACCCCCCACCCAGGATGTGCCCACAACCAATGCACATGCCCTTGACAGGAATCGAACCTGGGACCCCCCAGTTCACAGACCTATGCTCTACCCACTGAGCCAAACCGGTTTCAGCAAAAAGTGTTTTCACTTTTAATGTGGTATACAGGGAAATATTAGAATAAGTTTAATCAATCGATCAGTCATTGTTCTTATCAATGTTGTCTTTATATCACATCTATGTTGTTGTTATATCATGTTGTTAGTGTTTATTTATTAATCAAGTTATATATTATTTTTATATACATTTTGCTAACTTTCTTTCATCTCTGACACTTCTATTATAGAGAAAGGGTGAATAGCAATATTAAAAGATTTCTTCTACTTAATTTCCTTTCAATGTACACGAATCTGCATACCAGGCCACTCGTTATTAATAACAAACTACATTGACGCTAATGACTGATTAGTATAATCATGTTGCATTCATTTCCCTTACACGCCTTACACGCAGGTGCACAAATTCTCTCCACTAATATTAGCAGCGAATATTTTAGCAGCCAATTGCCACATCATTAGTCTTGAACTGACTTGTTTGGTGTACGCAACAGGAAATATTTTGCTTTCAGAGAACAAGAAAAATAGGTTTATTTGTGTGACGCTATTAATTTATGCAGGTATTCAGAGTCTGGTAAGTTAATGTGCAAGGGAAAATATTAATTTTTATTAAAATGTTCTATTACTTTATGTTAACGATGACTCGTTTATTTCAGCCCTTGGCATTCAGCATGTGTGTAACGAAATCAAGTGGTAGTAAAAATAAAAAATTGCTGACAAACTTTGAAATTTCCAAGAAAAGTGGGAATAGGAGTATATTTGCTGTGAAGTAAAAAATAAAATAATCTGCTTGATATGGAATATTGCTATTAGTGTACCAAAGTTATAACATAAATTAAATATGATCATTGTGAGGGATTAACGAGACAAGGAAAGTTGAAAGAGCTCGAGTTGGGACTGAATACACAATAGGGCATGGTTACTCCAGTATCACAAGAGCGAAGCCGTGGTGCAGGCAAGCTCCGTCTTGTCGGAGCTGATAGCTAAACACTCGAAACCTTTTACTGACGTGCTTTCATCGAGGAATGTCTAATTAAAGCTGCAGAAATTGTTTGTCCTGGAAATGGGAAGTCTTTTCAAACAATCTCTTTGTCTAAAAATACAGTTGGGGGAAGAGTTACTGAGTTGGCCGACAGTTTAAGTATCCAGATCAAACCAAAATCATCTGGTTTCGAAGCTTTTTCCATGGCCTGTGATGAGAGTGCGGACATTGGAGGCGTAGCTCAAGTAGCTGGTATTTCTTCATGCTTGTGATAAGAAATAAAGATTTCAACACTTTTGAGGAATGATTGGAACTAGTACTGATGCATAACACTAGTATAGGACAAGATATATTAAATCGTGTTTTTAAACTTCTGCAAAAAAAAAAAAATACAATCTACCTCTCTCAAAGCTAACTTTTGTAGCTACAGATGGAGCTCCTTTGATAACTGGAAACAAGGATAGTTTCGAAGCACTACTGCGAAAAAAACCCCAAAAAAAACAAAGTGAAATTTATGACGGATCCAAGACTCATCATACACACTGCGTTATACATCAAGAAGTGTTAGGTGCAACCCCCCCAAAAG